CTTTTCCAAGCCTTAAACAAGATCACATCAAATCATAGAAACATTAACAATTAAACTGGCCCAAAGTCAAGCAAGAAATTTTGCAAGTTTGGAAAGTTGAGATACTATTATTAAAATTTTACCTTTTGACAACGTTCGTCTTTATTTTAACCTGGCGAAGTCTTGGATCCGAAGACATATTGTGCAAAATATATTAAAAATAACCGAATTTTAGGTCTTGATTTTTCAAAACAAGAAATTTAAAACTGCAAAGCTTCTTGCAAAGCAACGAAGTTTGTAAACAAACTTTTCCGGTGAACACTTTTTTCCATCCAGCAAACCGCCCTATCGATTTTGTAAAGTCGTTTCTTTTTGGATTTTTTCATTAATTCGGTTAGGGTTAGAGTTAGGGTTGAGGTTAGAGTTAGGGGTTAGGGTAGGGTTTGGGTTAGTTACATAGCCATTTAACACCTGCGAAAATGACGCCAGGTCAGTTTGCTGGATGGAAAATAGTGCTAACCAAACTTTCCACCGTACAGGGATTCCACGGGATAGCACAGGATAGGAAAATTCTGAAATTTGTTGTGGATTGTGGAAACTGAAAAATTACTTTATATAAATCAAATTACAAAATTTGTTATTTTTACAGTGTTATTAAGTTTTACAGATAGATACTGATGTTTTCTAAATGTTTTCTGTACATACTATGGAAAGATGCATTTAAAATAAAGAATATGCAATACAAAATTTAAAAAGTTCAATGATTTGCAAAAGTTTTGCTTCAAATTTTTTCAAAAATCAAAAATTCTGATTTCCTGACGTGGAAACAGCTTATGAGCCAACAAACACTTTTATTTTGCCTGACAGTGGTTTACTATTTTCCTACGACCAAACTTCATGTAATCCTTTTTATTTACAGTACATAAACAACATACAGCAAAGTGAAAGAATAATTTAAAATACTGTATGTGCGTCCTAAGGAAAGACCTAATAAATAAATAAATAAAATGCTTATTTTTTCTAGTAAAATTATCAATCTTTAAAAACCATACTTCCCCCTTCAAAAAATGTTCAACCTCACCCCCCTTCCAAAAATTAAAAATTCCCCCCGCCCATATATGGCCGATGACGTCACCGTTTCTCTTCTGATAAAGAAACATCGTAGAAAATTTTATGTGGCAAACGTCGCGAAATACACATCGGAATTCGCTTTGATTTGAAATATTTAAAGTTAAACAGAAACAATGGACAAGAACCCTTTCGAAGATGACGAAAACTCGTTTGCGGTAAGTTGTTTTTGATGAAATTTTAGCTTGTCTTTTTGCCTGTGTGTCATGAATGCCAAGCTTGGAGTATGATCGTGAACTTTCAATATTGTATATTTTGTGCTTCGTTTCCTGTTTGTTGGCTGCCAAAGGCTGTTTTTGTTTATAGTTTAGGAACGTATAGTTGTTTTTTTTTATTTTAAAAGTATCCGTGCTCAAAATTAAAAGTCGTTTTGGAAAATTCTACAAGTTTATGTAGTTTTATTGTTGGGAGGCAATTAATTATATTAATAAATATGTTAAATATGACATGACAAGGTAATTCGGATGTGAAAATGATGAAATATGTAAAATGATGGATGGTTAATAATACAGGTATTGCTATGATCTTATATACCAAAATGAAATTAAATCCTACAAGTTGAAACATATTTTATCACTTGCTATCTTGGCCGAGAAATATTAATAATACATGTTGAGCATGTTTGTTACAATTGATCTTCAACTCTTCAAGACCAATTTTGTAATTCTTTCAAAATTGAGGAGAAATTGGGCGGGATGAGTAACCTCTTAGATGCTACATTTCTTTGCCTCTATTTGAAATATTTTGGATTTACAAGAGTGCTAATTTAATTTGGAAACAAATCGTAACAGCGTAGTGTATAAGCCTATGGGCTTATTATTATTGAACAGATATTTAGGCCTAAAAAAATACCTGTGGTTCCGGTTTCATATCGTGAAAAAATTAGGGTTGGTAGGTCGGAAATAAATTTTCTTAAAAATATTTTTCCATGGTTTTGGCAATTTTTTGCTGGGCAATTTGCAGTAGAGTCACGGCATCAATACTAACTAGAGATGTGTATTTCCTATGGACGAATTTAGGCAATTTGGTTCAATAATTAGTGTGACAACAGATGCCATTTTGGCACACTGTATGAGCAGCCTGCAACCACCCGGAGAAAATAGGGTCGCACTGTCAATCGCGTTGAAAAAAAAATAGGGTCGGCAGAAAAAAATAGGGTCGGTCGGGAACCAAAACCACAGGTATTTTTAGGCCTTATTAACGCAGCGACGGGGATTCCAACAGCTCAGAGGAGTGACAATAATTAGATTACAATATGTTAATTAACCATATGTCAGCATTTTGCAACAATACTAAACTAAGCTTGTTCATAGGATCCATCTGTTACTAAGGCAACCAAACCACAACCAGCCGCAGCCAAGTCAGGTACAGCAGGGTTTGAAGATTATAACCCTTTTGCTGAAGATAATGTGAGCAAAGTATGTATGCAACTAATTACGTATTTAAATTGTTAAAACTTCAGCTCTTGCATTTTGGAGAACATTGAGTCCCAATACAAGCTGACACCTGGTGATTTTGGCATCCATTGGACAATTGCCAACATTTCCAACTAACCAAAGAAATGTTAATTTAAGGAAAAGGTTTCTTGCTTTTATAACATCAGGGTGTTAGCTGCGGTAAAAAATTCAGCATTATGTGCAAAAATATAGGTAAAATATTCAGCATTAGCCAGCAATTTCACAATTTTGTTCAGCCAAAAACGTAACTGTTATATATATAAAAGATTGTTCAACTTCAACACTTTGCTAAAGAAAAATTGGGTACCAGATAAGTGTTGCGAGGATCCTAGAATATATAATATACTTATCTGTTTTTAGTATGCAAAACAATATCAGGTGACTTGCACTTTGAAAGTTACAATTTAGTTCAGCTGGCGCAAGGCCACGAGAACGTCACTTAAGAAACATGATATGTCCTCAATGTCGCAAGCTAACTGAAATTCCAAATTTCATTAAATTGCCAAATTTTTTAATCTTTTGGCTAACACCCTGGACATAAATTTTACATGATACTCTTTGCTGAATATTTGGGTATGACAAAATCTACAAAATACTCTCCAAAAAATGGAAATGGCATTTCAGATGGTCTAAATTTGAAAATCTTCACGGGGAAAAATTCATACAAAATGCAAGATCTTCACTCTTTAATCTTTGTAGTAGATATATGTAAGTCTTATTTAAGCTGTACTCACGAGTCATTCCTATTTTCAGCCGGCGGAATTTTCAAATGTGACCATCCCTCCGCCTCAACCGTCTGAGCCCGCAGTGATTGATACGAGATCGGAACAACCAAATTCATCATATACTGCGGTAGGTGAAATATAACAATATCTCTCTGTTATCAAATTGAAACACTGTTGCTGACATTTAAATATCTTCATTGATGTGCAGTATTTGGCAAAATGGATTTATTTCTAAACAATTTAGGCATGTTTTATCATTTGTCTAGATTGCTGCCGAACAGGAAAACCTGGCCAAGAGACAAGAGGTAAACTGCCAGTCAATAAAACCTTCTGAGAGATAGCTCAATGGGCACTGTAGATTGGCAGTCCAGAGATATCTGAAGATGCGAGCCGTTTAAAGGACATTGGCAATAAAAAATTAGTTTAGTTCATTTTGAAAGAACTCTAAAAAGTAAAACTACATATATATTAAACTCTATTGCAGATTGTTTCTATCTTGCTTAGTTTTCAAAATATTTCGACTGCAAAAAGTGATTTGTTCGCCATCTTGGATTAGATACAGATACAGATATTTCACAGCACACTCCCTATATCGGGGCTTTTCAGTGACTGGTTACATTATGAATAGATAGATAGAACCGGACTGACGTGAAGCAGACCGAGGTAGGCTTTGAGCTTACAAATGGCGCTTAAGCAGCCGCTATTAGTCCATACCTCATTAATGATCTGTCTCCAGAGTCCAGACCTATGTGCCTAACCCACCCTGTCAACTTTTCCTGTGGGAGGAAACACTGAGTACCCGGAGAAAACCCACGACTTTCGGTAGAGCGTTGATTATTGAGGATATGCAAGTTACGTCAAGAGAGGGGTCACGTTATTTTTTATCTTGAGAGTAGGCGATCAATATGGGTCCAAAATTTCGTTTCTGGTTGCTGTCTGAAATTTACAAATGATTAAAAACATTTCAAACAATTTTGGATTGTTACTTGGTCATTTTAGAGTAATTTTATATGGTTAACCCAACTCCTGACGTCATCAAAACCATAGTTGACGAGGTCAAGAATTAGTCCAAGAAGGCAGACAGCTTCTGTCTAAATATTTCGAGAACTAAGCAAGATATGACACATCGGTAATAGAGTTTAATGTGTAATTTTAAGAGTTCTTTTGAATGAGACAAACTAATTTTTTATTGCCAATGTCCTTTAAATCTGTTGTTCTCCGCAGTGATTTAATGAGATTCGGCTAATATAGTGCCAGGGAGTTCGCCACAGATTTCCCCAATTACGGCGACCCTACAGTAGTGTCATAATAATATGAAACTAAGTTTAAAGATAAAGAGCAGAGCCTAGCAAATAACTTTAAAACCAAACATAACAAAAGTAAAAATTTATTAGCTAACGTTTCGTTGTTTATAATACAACATCTTCAGAGCAATTAGCTCTATTCTTGATCTAATTAAATTTTACTTTTGTTATGTTTGGATTTAAAGTTATTTGCTGGGCTCTGCTCTTTATCTTTAAACTAAGATTTCCGCCTGGTGTATCAAGTGCCGCAATTTGAAACTACTGTAGTTAAGTGTTATATATCCTCGGAGATATATCCTCCGAGGATGGTTCTGAAATAACCTTGGTCAAGAATCTCCATGTCAAATTTCTAGGAGCTTGAGCGAAGAGCCGCTGAACTCCATGAAAAAGAACAAGAGTTGAAACAAATGAGATACCGAGGTACTTGACTACCCAGAGGGAACCTCATCTTTTTGTAAAAAGTTTGCAAATGGTTCTTCAGAAAATCGTTCTTGACTTGCTATTAATTATATTTTTCATCTTTTAGAAAGGAAAAATAATTTCCCTCCATTTCCACAGGGCTGTCCACTTACACCGTGTTTCTTTCATGATATCAGCATTGATATACCTCCGGACTATCAGAGAACAAGCAGAATGCTCTTTTATGCCTGGGAATGTAAGTGCCGGGGCAGGTTTTTCCGTTTTGGTGTAGGGAGATGTTCATCTGTAGTGAATATAAAGCCCTGGGCAAACTAGGAAACATTGTTGTGGAAACATTCGTGATTCTTGATGTTTCCTCAAATGTTTCCATGTTTGCCCACCCATGGAAACATTGTTGCGGAAACAAATTTTGCTTTCGGAGAGGCAAAAATGTTTCCTAGCAAATTCAGAAACATTTGATGTTTCCCTATGTTTCTCGCTAATGTTTCCTAGTGTTTGCCCACTCTGGGAAACATGACGAAACATTGGTAGGAAACAATGTTTCCGCAACAATGTTTCCTAGTTTGCTCAGGGCTTTAATGCCTAAAGCATATTTTGTTTCTGTCTTTGCAGTTTATTGCTTTACGTTGTTGTACAACTTGGTGTGTGCCTTGGCGTACATATGTATCGACACTGGTCCTGGAACGGTTACATTCATAGTTGCACTCATTTTCTTCCTAATATTTGTCCCATGTTCTTTCTGCCTGTGGTACCGACCGAGTTATAATGCTTTCAAGTATGTTGGCCAGTTTATATACAGTATAATATATACCTTTATAATATAGCATTTGTAAATTCTGAACGCTGATTGGCTAAGAGCCGTGTTGATATAACTCAATGTCAACACGGAAACGTCGGAAAATTTATTTCTTTATATTTCTTTGTGCTATATTATAAAACAAATGTAAAACTTTTTTCCGTATTGATATATAGTTATATCAACACTCGTGGAAATTGGAAAAACTCGAAATTGTGTGAAAACACTCCGCCCTTCGGGCGTCATGTTTCCACACAATTTCTCGTTTTCCCAATTTCCACTCGTGTTGATATAACTGTATATCAACACGGAAAATGTTTTATATTTGTTAATTAATCATAAGAACATCATAACCTCTTATCTTAGATAGCTCCGGCTCCAACGCACAGCTCTACTGTACTTGGAAGGGCAAATGTCTGGCCAAGCCAAAAATTGGTCGGACACTCGGACATTTATCAGTTTTTCCAGGACAATGGATAAAGTAAAATTTCTTTTTTTTTGAATGCATCTAAAACTTAGTATTAATATATCTACCGGTCCTAATGCGTCAGTAAATTATGGTTCAGGCTATACATAACTTTAATTTCTAGCGTGTATACGAAGGTGATGAAGATTTATAATCTCTCTCCTCCGCAGAGGCTTACATGAAGTTTCTAGTGAGGAAAAAGTGAGCGCGCAAGGAGTGATGGGAAGAGCTAAATAAAGGAAGCCTCTGCAAGCCTCTTCTAGTTAATACAATCAACATGGCGTCGTATATAATCGTTTGGAGTTTGGTTCGATCAACCATCGAGGGTGTTAAAACATGTTTTCCACTTTCCTTTTCAGGCGTACTTGAGTCTCCTGGAATGAATCTAATATCAAAATCTCCATTTGCACCGAAAAATATTGAGAAATTGCAAATGAATATAGATATGAGCTATTTAATTATAAATATCCTCTAAATTGCAACATTTCTTTATAAAAATGACTCTACTAAACTTCCATACTCAGATTATGAAGATTTATTCCAATTTCTTCCACATTTCCGTCGATTTCAACTTTAAAAAGGGTCAAACAGCTAGTTTGGTTCAAAAACCATACTTCGTTGCATACTTGCATTGGCAGATTGCATTTATTTTCCGCACAGGGGGGTTGAGGACATCTTTTTACCAGCTAAATTGTGACCCCCTGGAATTCAGTTTATATACCCCCTCCCTGGAATTTCCTGGGAATTCATTGCTAGACACCCCTGGAAAATGGCTTTAATTGCAGACCATCCCCTGGATTTTGGCCTCTAATCACCCCACCCCCTGGATTTCTGCAGTCTTTTTCACCCTCCCCCTGGATTTTCCAAGGCCTTTTTTACTCCCCTCCCCTGGATTTTCCATTGTCCTCAACCCCCCTTGTGCGGAAAATAAATGCAATCTGCCATTATCTGCCACTCTGGCAGGGCCTTCCCGACTTCATTTCAATCTTTCCATCACACCGCGCGCGCTCACTTTTATTCAGGAAACTTCATGTAAGTTATTTGTAAATATATAATTAAATCTTACGGTTTCATACAGCAAGAAATGCTGTCTATATATTGCTTTCTTGTTGGTTTCATTAATAAAAAATGTGTTAAATAAACATTTTTTAAGATTGGAGATTTGACTGGACACAAACTAAAATTTGGCCGCACAATGGACCATTCCCCAATTAACCAAAATTTTGATCTCAAGTGTGGACAAAATTCCATCATCGCATATGAAAGAGCATCATATGCAAAATTAGTAATATTCCAAAGTTTCGTTGCGAAATGTTGTAAAATGCGGATAATGTAGCGTTGCGAAATTTGCAATTTTCAGTCATTTTAGATTACAAACGGGAAATGGTTACCACTTTTCCAAAACTTTGATCTTAACTACAATCCTGGACAAAACCATCTGCGACACTCTATTAAAACATTCCTTTGTGGCTTTTTTTACCAGTTAGACCGGAATAATTTACTCGTTTGCCCCCCTCCGCCCCCCAAAACAATGTTGGACGCTTTATCCGTATTCTACGAATCCAATCAACATTGAATGGTGGGGGAAAGGGGGAGGTTTTCTAAATTTACGATAACATTACGATATTTTGTCAAGTAGAATTGGAAGTGTCGCAGATGTTTTGTCCAGGATTGTCTGAAATGAGTCGAAATTACATTCTTTTATATTTCGCTTGTTATGCATGTCCTTGCCATGTATTTTGTTTATGCGCATTGCTCATGACCTACTTATATTCATAATTACATCAAGTACCTTGTTTCATTAATTAAATACGTCATGAATACCTTAGTGTTTTGGAGGGGGTAATAATGTGTGGTAGAATATACAATACAGTATATTATTTTTAATTTTAGCAATTAAAAGCAACGAAATGTTGCGGAAATAATTGAGAAAGTAAAACTATCGCGTTCTAGTCGATTCGTTGCAATAATTCAGAAATTAAGAAATATATATGAATCATATTTGTTAACTGTATATATATAAGACCTGCAAGACACAATAGACATTAACCTATAGTCGACCATGTGAGAAGGTGCCTAGACGGACATGCAAACGATCAGTGAATGAGATGCAATGTACGACACAAAAAATATATTTCCATGAGAGTTCGTGCAACTTATATATTGATAGGTTATACATTCAGTCTATACATAGACGAATGCGTGTGGTATCCAGTAGAACTAAAGGACAATAAATTCAATATAGTTACCGCGTTTCTGGTATTCACTGCATATATTTAGAAAATTAAGCGACAACTATATAATTGGGAATTATGCATTTTGACACAAGTTTTCGTGGTGTGGTAAATCAATGCTCATATTTTCCCAATGTCATACCTAACGGTGTACCACTGACCAATACACTAAGACTGTGATAATATCCTCAGTTATGGGATATAATACAAACCAATGAAATGGACTTGAAAGAACGTGTGTTGCTTAGTATTCCAACCTACTTCAGACAATATTTAGCGCGATAATTTTAAAATACTTCACGGTGTACCATTTTCACCCTAGAAAAGGTTATATATATATATATTCTTATATGTTCACGCTGTACCATGGTACACCGTCAATGCGCATGCGCTATTATACGACAATAACAAAATCGGATTAGTCATTTAGTGCGGCGGTCACGCAATATATTTCCACTCAACAGCTAAGCGTTAGTCTGTCTAACAACACAAATAAGTATGGATAAATGCATTTTAGAATATTCTTGGTGCAAAATAGTTGGTATATACACTATGAGGTACATTGACTTGCTCTCCGACGTATATTAAATGCGCGAAAGTCGTCGCATATGATTCTTAATCGCATTCTATACAAGCTATCGAAGCATAGCGTTGCATGAGGGTATTATATTACCTTGTTGACCATGTGATATTTGCTTCTTGAAGCCTAATACATTATAGTGAGCCATAGTTACTACGGGAAGAGAAAGTCCTGCATAAAACACAATTTTTAATGCGCAATGCCTTGGTTATTGAATTTGAAAGATACAGACAGTCTGAGATGAGTCGAAATTACATTCTTTTATATTTCGCTTGTTATACATGTCCTTGCCATGTATTTTGTTTATGCGCATTGCTCATGACCTACTTATATTCATAATTACATCAAGTACCTTATTTCATTAATTAAATACGTCATGAATACCTTAGTGTTTTGGAGGGGGTAATAATGTGTGGTAAAATATACAACACAGTATATTATTTTTAATTTTAGCAATTAAAAGCAACGAAATGTTGCGGAAATAATTGAGAAAGTAAAACTATCGCGTTCTAGTCGATTCGTTGCAATAATTCAGAAATTAAGAAATATATACGAGTCATATTTGTTAACTGTATATATATAAGACCTGCAAGACACAATAGACAACCTATAGTCGACCATGTGAGAAGGTGCCTAGACGGACATGCAAACGATCAGTGAATGAGATGCAATGTACGACACAAAAATATATTTCCATGAGAGTTCGTGCAACTTATATATTGATAGGTTATACATTCAGTCTACACATAGACGAATGCGTGTGGTATCCAGTAGAACTAAAGGACAATAAATTCAATATAGTTACCGCGTTTCTGGTATTCACTGCATATATTTAGAATATTAAGCGACAACTATATAATTGGGAATTATGCATTTTGACACAAGTTTTCGTGGTGTGGTAAATCAATGCTCATATTTTCCCAATGTCATACCTAACGGTGTACCACTGACCAATACACTAAGACTGTGATAATATCCTCAGTTATGGGATATAATACAAACCAATGAAATGGACTTGAAAGAACGTGTGTTGCTTAGTATTCCAACCTACTTCAGACAATATTTAGCACGATAATTTTAAAATACTCCACGGTGTACCATTTTCACCCTACAAAAGGTTATATATATATATATTCTTATATGTGCACGCTGTACCATGGTACACCGTCAATGCGCATGCGCTATTATACGACAATAACAAAATCGGATTAGTCATTTAGTGCGGCGGTCACGCAATATATTTCCACTCAACTGCTAAGCGTTAGTCTGTCTAACAACACAAATAAGTATGGATAAACGCATTTTAGAATATTCTTAGTGCAAAATAGTTGGTATATACACTATGAGGTACATTGACTTGCTCTCCGACGTATATTAAATGCGCAAAAGTTGTCGCATATGATTCTTAATCGCATTCTATAGAAGCTATCGAAGCATAGCGTTGCATGAGGGTATTATATTACCTTGTTGACCATGTGGTATTTGCTTCTTGAAGCCTAATACATTATAGTGAGCCATAGTTACTACGGGAAGAGAAAGTCCTGCATAAAACACAATTTTTAATGCGCAATGCCTTGGTTATTGAATTTGAAAGATACAGACAATCCTGGACAAAACCATCTGCGACACTCTATTAAAACATTCCTTTGTGGCTTTTTTTACCAGTTAGACCGGAATAATTTACTCGTTTGCCCCCCTCCGTCCCCCAAAACAATGTTGGACGTTTTATCCGTATTCTACGAATCCAATCAACATTGAATGGTGGGGGAAAGGGGGAGGTTTTCTAAATTTATGATAACATTACGATATTTTGTCAAGTATAATTGGAAGTGTCGCAGATGTTTTGTCCAGGATTGTAGCTTTGATATAGTTTAATACATTCCAGATAAAAATAACTAACCGGCTATCGTTTTATCCATTGATATTTGACTTATCAAAATAATCAACCGTATGGTAAATAAAGTTGATACAGGTGGTGGCACCAATATTTCAGCTAGTCAAAATTATGGAAAATAGAACAACGCTTTAGATGTCAAAGCTATTAGAATGTGATTTTTAAGAGAATGCATGTTCATCTATGTAATCTAAAGCTATTGGTTTGTGGTTCCTAACGTGAATTTACAGAGAAATAAATATGTCATGAATTTGCAGGGATTTTTAATGGGAAATTCGTACGAATAAGAGCAAAAGATAATCATGCGAACAGCATTTAATTTGTAAGACTTAACTGTCAAACGATAAATTTTGTTGAAACTACTTGATTTGAAAAATTTCATAAAACATTTTCCGATTATTTTACCTATTTTGCGTACTTGGCCCAGTTTGATTCAGACAGATTAAGTGATTGGATGATTATAGAAGACGAACCATACATTACACAGCGATAGGATAGTTATTTCATCCAATACTATACACCTCACCCTAAAGTGGTTTGTACCACATGACGGTCATGACCGTGGTATTTTTTGGCGAACACCATTCCCAAGGCAAACTTTTTCAAAGTCTTTTTCTTGGAGCATGCAAAACGAACACCGCGCTATACAGCCCGGAATTCGACTTTGAATACCCCGCTCGTATACATAGTGGGGGTTAGGGTTAGGGGTGTGGTTGGTACTTTTTTGAGATACCCTTTGTATATAAATATCGATGAAATACTATAGGATTTCTTCATGCAATGGAAATTTCTTCATGCAAACATTTTTTTATGAATTGCATTCAGCTGTATACCTGCAATGACCTCTATACGTCATAAAATATAATTATTCTATGGGATGATAAATTTGAAATCAAACTAAACATTTACACAGACTCTTAAAAAGTCTTCTTGCTTACTTATTAATTCATATGATGAAATCTCAAGACGGCCTACAGCTTTTACTGTGGAGTCTGAATAAGCGTGGAATAAGGTTCCCGTGCATTTCATGCATGTAAATATTCAAAATTCTCCTACTAAATATTACCATAAAATACCTTTTCATTTGGATAAATTTGACAATCAACTTCCTTCAAGGCGAGGTCTAAGTCCTCACGATAACGTATTCCTAGTTTTTGAAACTCAATTTGACCTTTATCAGGCCAGTTATCTGGAGCTTGGTATGACGGGTTGATCCAAGGGGCCTGAATAAATAAGGAAATGATGTCTTGCAATTGTTTGGCATATTAGGCGAAGGAAAAGCTTCGGTAGGGCAATCGTCAGATCAAGCGCCAGGCCTTTCACCTTTGAATCGATTAAGTTGAGTTGTGTCCCTCAAAAAATTTAAAAATTTTCTGCCGGTTCTTATAGAAACGACGGCAGTGCCGAAGTGTTTAAATTAAAGAATCCAAACTTTCTGTCCTTACTTATTTTGACCTGCTCTTTTCATTTCTGGTATTTAATATCAAATTTTAAATTGACTCAAAAAAGCGTGTTAAAGGTCTATAGAGCGTTTGCACTCATTCCCCAGGGTGGTATTTAACAAAAGCCATGGTGGTCATGTTGGTGTTCCAGACAAAAGAGTCTAATTAAATTGAATTGGAACACCAACATGGCGGCTGCGACGTCATGTGCAAACGCTCTATTGAAACGCAACTTTTTCCAAGAACAAATTGAGCGGTGTTCAATAAAGTTGAGTTATCGAATACCTCCTGTTTGGCTTCAGTGTATTCTTTTACTCTTTCAACCGACACAATATGCGTCTCAAGCTCACTTGTTTGTCGCACCAACCAATTCAACGTTCCTGTGATCTAGTAACATACAAAAGATATATTTTTAAATGATAGGATTATAATTTCTTATAATGCAAAATTAACAAAGCATGCATTGTTTCCTTGGTAACACTTTCAATTGGTTACTCACTCATTCATTACTCCAAATATTTATTACGGGATTTCATTTCATAATTAATACCACTTTTAAAAGTACTACAATTTTGTTAAGTAAATCTTGCCATATCCCTCTCCAGATTCGTTAGTTGTACAGTAATACAATTAATGAAGTAATTGTACTCCTCTCGTGCAGTTCAGTAATCTTATGTTGCAGAATAATATAGAGATTCTTACCCTCAAAGATACTGTGATAGACAATCCCACCAAACCACTTTCAATACTATCACGGGCGAGCACGCCGAACAGAGCAGCAAAAAATATAATACAGTTGCCAATAAACTCCAAACGTACTGCAAGCCATCTGTTAAAACATTTTGTATGGAATAATTATTTGATGGTCCTCATTTGCAGGCTTTTAGCCAGGGTATCAAAAAATACCGTGGGAATGCCCACCTAAACCAGCGCTTGTGGTGTGATGATCACCACCCTGGTCACCACGCTTGCCTTTCAAGCTGGTAGACCCGCAGGTTCAATCCTTGGTAGGACCTCTATACTCAAGGTTTTAAAATAATTGAGGAGAAAGTGCTACCTATACAATGACATCAGTCAATGGTTAGACTTTCGAATCTTGAATTTATTATATTTATATTTAGTCTAAAATTAGTTAAGTACGTCTTTTGTCAGGAGGAATATAAGAATCAAGTTTCATCGTGTAATAGTCTGTAATAGTCTAGCTTTTTTAAAAGTTACTAAGTTGGTTAGTGCGCGGCAGTGAGTTCCAGGTGGAAACGACACGGTGGAAATAGGGGTATTTTAGGTAACTTTGAGTTTAATTTTGAGTAAAATAGTGCACCCACACTACAGTGACTCAAAAAATGAGTAAATGTTTTCATAAATTTGAGTAATAATTTTACTCAAAATTTTGAGTTACTGTGCATGGGTGCATTATTTTACGCAGGTTTGAGTCAAAATACTCCAGGATTTTTTGCAGTGCACGAGGTATTGTATTCAAGGATTATCACAAATAGTACTAGTTGCTGTTTACAGAAAAAAATCTTAGGCACTCCATGGCCATCTATTAAAAAGTGGCCGTCGAAATTCAAAACAGGCTCGTCCAGCATGTGTTGCCCGGACCTCGTCTGACTGGGATGAATAAGCCAATGCAGTGTCTCCAATGCGCATCCAAATGACGCGTTCTGCATGCGTCTGAATAGATTGTAGCTGAATCATAACATGTAGCTGAGATTACAAGAATTAGAATATGCATATCAAAGTGTTCAACGGTTCAATCATTATTAAAGGAATACCGAATGGTTTTCCGTACAGGATTGCGTGATCCATGCACTTGGGATGTCGCGAGACTTTCGGAAAGCGTAAAAATACTCGACCCGCAGGCGAGTGTATTTTTACGCTTTCCGAAAGTCGAGCAACATCCCAAGTGCATGGATCACGCTATCCTACTTGGAAAACCATTTGGTAATTGTTTTATAAAATAACTTTAGTGAAACAATGACCTTTTGTGAATCCCGCGAAGGCTTTAGCGCGATCCTGCACGGCTATTAATAGCCTGATCCTGCACGGCTATTAACCAATCAAATTGCGTGTTTCACTGTAGTTATTATATAATTCTGTTTCACTTATAGCCACCGTACTCATGCATGGAATTGTCAATTTACCAATACTAAAAGTTTAATCTACTAAAATTTGCTTTAACAAATTTATAGCCCGCGTGCAGGCCGAAGGGAGCAGGCTCAAGGGAACTTGATAGTCCCGGTATTTTGTACTTTCCGCGTTCGCCCACGAACGCGGCATTCTGATTGGCTATTTGCTGTTGGATTCTATAATTAGGTCAGTGATTCATCACAAAGGCATAGACAAAGGCTCTCGATAAGCTTAAAATTCGAAAATTAATCACTTTTTTCGATTACAAATGAACAAGAACAGACTGTTTATTGTTTACTTGAAGGAAGAGATGTTTTTGCCGTTATGCCAATGGGGATTGCTTGTCGTAAGGTGTTGGAATAGCAACATTACGACTGGGGTAAACTCTA